GAGGTGACCCCGGGCACAGCGGGGACCTGCCTGCGCGTCCTGGAGCGGGCGGCCAGGCCCTGTGCCCACGCGGCCCACGTCACAGGGATCCGGGTGCTGCAACCAGACCTGCTGCTCTCTGCCTCAGTGGATCAGCGCCTGACGCTGTGGCACCGGGGCCCACAGGGGCTGGATGCGCTCAGCACCACCTTTTTCCACGTCCCCGACCTGGCGGAGATGGATTGCTGGGAGGTGATGGAGGCTGGGGGGGGGCTGAAAAAAATGTGTGGGCAGGGGCTGGAGATGCTGTGTGGCACCGCGGCCCCCCAGCCTCCATCACCACAGCCCCTGTCCCAGCCTGCGTGCTGATGTGTTCCCTCTCAAGGAGATGAGCGTGCTTGGCCCCTCTGGGGACAGCACTGAGGTGTGTGAGGCTGATGGTCTTGGGCAGGAGGCAGATGTGGCCCATCCTGGACCAGCTTGGGCCTCCTCAAGGGGTGAGGGACCTGTGTCTGGGCTTCCCAGCCCTGGTGCCAAAGGATCCTGAGCACCATACCCGAGCCTGAGGGCAGCAGGAGGCCAAGTGGGTCAGGCGCTGGTGTGGCACATGGCAAGCGTCAGTGCTCGCTGTGACAGGGCCCGGTGTGACAGCCCTGACCCCACGGTGCTGGGGATGGTGCTGAAATGAGTGGGGACAACGATTCTCCGCAGCGGTGCCTGTGCTGTGCTGTGCCAGCCTGGGACTGCCCAGTCCCCCTCAGAGCCACCCTTCAAAGTGCCCCAAGCTGAACATGTTCTGCACAGCACAGGGAAGGACAAGCAGCCATGCATGGCCCCAGCCCTGCGTGGGGCACAGTGCTCCGTGGGGATCAGACACAGACACACACAGAGCATTTGTCCAGCAACAACTGTATTGGACCCTGGTATCGGGGCCTGGTGCCTCAGGAGCTCCCTGCCAGCACGGAGCAGCCTTCAATAAACGGCTTTTGAGGGCAGTGACATTGGTGCCTGACTTTGTGATACCCTGGTACCGCTGCAGCCTCGCACAGCGCTCCCCTGCACAGCTCACAGGGTGCCACAGGCGTCCTCCCTTCTGCTGCTGTGGTCATGGCAGATGAACCCATCTCCCACCCCGGGCACAGCTGTGGGGTGCAGCCAAGCCCTCAGACCTGGTGGGTGGTTGGAGGGAAAGCATCTGTGAGGGGTCCCCTGGCTCCCTGTGGGGCAACCCCTGGCCCTGCCGGGGAGGACGTGCCCTGTCCTAGCCCCTGTGGCGCAGTGTCCTGGTGTCTGTCACGCCATGGCACGGCTCTTCAGCGACAGCTCAGATCTGGCTGAGAGGAGGGAGGTGCAGAGTGGCCAGGGCGCTGTGGAACACGTCCCTCACTGCTGCCAGCAGCCGGAGGCGGGCAAACATCTGCTCAAAGAGGTGAGGGAACGGCTCCTGCAGGGAGAAAGGTGGTGACATGGGGATGGTGGCCCTATTCCCCCTTGACAGGGTGCATCTACGATGCCTTGATGGGCTGCATCACGCCCCAGAGCCCCGCAGCTGCAGTCCAGCCCCGGGGAGCACTGCAGGGCTGCACCCTCCAGCCAACAGCCCAGGACAACCAACTCACCCCCAGAACATGGACCCGGTTGTAGTAGGAGCTGAAATCCATGCTGAGCTGGATCAGGAACTTGCACACCTGCAAGACGAAGCGTTTCTGCTGCCATGGCGGGGTCTGGGTGGTCTTGGGCCCTTCCCTACCCCCAGCACATCAGAGGCAGCCCCAGGGATGTTGCCTTGCCTGGGGACTGCTGGAGCAGCACCCATGGGTGCTCTGGCACTGGCACTTACTGCCTCGGTGTTGGCTGTGATCCGGATCCCCTTGCTGGGCGGGGGCAGCTGTGCCGCCTGCTGCAGGACTTCAGGGAAGGGCAGGAGGTAGTTGAAGAGCAGGAGCCACTCACCCTGTGAGGGGATAAAAAGTGTGAGAGAGGTCCAGGTCCTGCTGGGGCAGCACCAGAGCTGAATGCACACAGGTCCCCTCGTTCCCCTTCTCAGCACTCGCCTCTTCCCGGAGGCAGGAGAAGTTCAGTTCTGACGCAGGCGGCAGAGGTGGGTACGTGCCTGGAAAGGAGCAGGGGGGAGCTTGTTGTGGTGCCCGGGGCAGCCCCTGCAGCTGCAGGAGCGAGGAACAGCCCCGCAGCGGCCGTTAGAGCGGGGCAGTGGGGCTGGCGCTCACCCCGCTCCACAGCGCGCTGGTAGGTGCCGAAGAGCGTGGCCAGCCGGGCGCAGTTGTACATCACGAAGGCCCCGCTCTTGGTTCCCTTCGTGGAGATGCTGCTGTCCTCCAGGTTCAGGGTGATCTGAGGGCAGGGAGAAGCAGAAGCCCAGGCTCCTCAGCCCAAAGCCGCTC